GAAGTTCTGGTACCTGACTGCCCTTCACAGGTTGTGAAGTTGCAAATAAATTAGGAAAAGATCATGGTTTTGTGTTACAATAACAAGTCATTTTCATTGTCTTTCATTAATCTTTGAATTCCTCCCAACCAAACAGCTGTAATGGGGCTGAGAAATGAAGCCTTTGTTGAAATACAATTAAGTGAAGTTCCTGTAAGGACCACTGGAGGCTGGCTCCCAAAGTGAGTCAATAACCAAAAGTTCTCCATCATAAAATTCCAAACAAAAGAATCAAACATGTTTACACCATACTCAATTAAATGGTTTAGGTCTCTTGAGATCATTTTTATATTCTTGAAAACTGTGTTGGATAGATTTTTCATACACTGTAACTCAATTTAAGTCATAAGGCTTCAAATTGTGTATAATTAGTTTACATGTACAACTTGAATTGGATGAATAATATGGTGTGCCATCTAGTTTATCACACTAAGGAGTCCTCTGAGGACTTGTCTTAGACTTGTATGTCTTTCAAGCACTCAAAGACCCAAAGAAACAGAGCTTGGTATGAAATGTATAATAGTTTGGAAGTTATGAGGTAGGAGGTGAAGGTACATGGATTTAAGAAAAGTTGGATAAAGTTTTTGCTGAGTAAAAAATTTAAAAAGTAATGAATACGATTGTGATAGCTAAAAGGTGTCATTCTGCTTTATCCCTCCAACCTTCATCATAAGGAAATGATTATCAATATTCTACCCAGGAATTTGTTCTCTCGAGATCAAACAAGATGTTTAAAAAGGATAATATCCACTCATGTCTATTCCGTTAAACACATATTTAAATATCAGTGTGTTGTTGTTTTAACATCACCATGACTTAAAACAAACAACACCAAATTGTCTCACATGTTCGTGCAATTTCTTCAGGAAGTTGTTGCAAAATTCGGGGATTTTTGGGGCCAATAATAATTCTGAGATCCTCCTCACTTTACTCATTCACAATTTATACAAACAACTTTGTCATTCCTTGAGCCCATTTTCTGCGCAATTTTGGAAGCCATTTTGGCAGGTTTCCTTTCCCTGAACACATCTCTCCAGGTCTCCTCCCAGTCTGTGTCGGGTTGTGTAGCTCACAGAGGTGGAGTGGGGAGCAGACACGTGAGGGTCGATTTGCGCAGTCCTGTAGTTGAAGGGGCGGCTTCCTGCGCTGCATTATTAATACCTGATGTTCACAGTTGACCTGATGCTTACACACTCCCCTCACTGGGCCATGACTGGGGGAGAGTGTGTCTGTGTCTGTGTGTTTTGCAGAGAAAGCGATTTAACTAGAGCTGAATACATTCAGTTTATTGCATTAAATGTCTTCTTATAGATGCAAATTGCTAATGAGTTGCCCAGTCCTTATAAAGGGTCTATACGCCTGGCTGTGTGAGGTGCTGCGCTGCTGATGGCTCTTAGTTCTGAATGACAAGCTGCAATTTGTGCTTGATAATCGGCCTTAGTTCAACAAGAATTCACAGTCCATTACTGCTTTAAACGAGGGTAGTTTTATCCAAATATGAAGCCACTGGAAAAACAGGCATTTAATATAGATAATATGCCCTTAAAAGAAATAGACAGAGCAAAGCAGGACCAAGCGAACCATCACAAATCCCTGTGTGAAAGATAACTGACAACCATATAATTAGCCTCTGTGAGCATCTCACACGATTTTATTGTGTCTTTATCTCGTCTTTCTAAACAGTGAGGCTGAACAGAAGAAAAAAAAAACAGGGGGCCTGCAGGTTTCTGAGCAAATTACCCATGCTTATTTATTCAGACACGTCGCCTTATAGAGCAACCAACCCCCTGGGTCTTCTTGCAGGCCAGAGCAAATGCCAAAATCACTTTACCGCTTAGGAGAGAGGACAGTCGGAGAGTAAGAGGAGGGAATGAAAGTGAAGTTTCTCCAGGTAGGTGTTAGAAGTAGAGGGTAGAGGCAACAGCTACGAGAGGGGAGATTATAGTGTAAGGTAAGGGAGGAGATCAAGAGAGAGAGGTGAGACAGGAGGGAGATGAAGACCTATACACAAAGGGAAAATGACAAAGAAAGAATGGAAAATCGTTTTTTGTGAGGAAAGTGATCACAGCAGATCAGAGAGATAGTTAACTCAAGCCCGGGAGGGAGGGAAGTGAGACGAGATAGGTTGGGGGAGGAGGGCGGCGGTGGAAACTAACAAGGGAGGAGTAACAGAAAGTAGGGTTGGAAAGCTGGCTGAGCGTCTCCCAGGGGTCTCGGAGGGAGAGGAAGATGGGTCGGCGAGCGAAACACCCCCTGCAGAGAAACTCAACAGGGGGTCGGCTTTTTGTTTTGAGGGGGAAAAGAAAGGGGGAAACCACCCTTGAAAGAAGTGATAACAGAGGCTCTTACACTTCATATTTGAACTGAAGAATAAGCTTTGTTCATAGAGATGGGGGGCTTGTTTTAATTCGACACTCATCCCCCCCAATCCACACACACACACACACACACAAACCCAACACACTTACTCACAAATATAGACATACAAAGTGTAAGTGTTAGCTAGGCTGCAAGTTTCCCATTGTTTTGGCTATCTACTCTAACACTTCACAAACGTGTTAACATCTTCTTACGTTTTTTTGTAATGCATTGTGCACGTTGTGCAATCTGGTCAGTGGGAACAACATTTTTTAATGATGCTTTTATGTGGAAACATTTTCATATCAAAAATGACTTTGCATACAGACTGTGAATAATAATGATATGCATGGAGCATCCACTGGAGGCTGGTCTAGAGACTATGCCATCCAAATCTAATAAAGCAAAATACAACTTGTATTACAAATCAAACAAAGGACTAAAAAAGGACTTGAGAAGCAGGGATTCAGAGATGTCACATGTGTCATTCAAGATAACCAAAACCTCTGGAAATGGGAAAAGAAAGATTGTGAATTGGTTGGTACTGCAATTCACTCTTTCAACATTTAACAAAGACCAATAACCTTAATTTTCTTCAGAAAATATTTAAATGATGTTCCCTATCATTCATAACCAACAAATTGAATGAAAGGACAAACAACGGTATAAAGTGATTCAACCAAAATTCATTTTCTCTGATGGGTAAATACACAAGTTGTCTCGAGGTCCTACCCTAACTAGGAAAGACAAGATAAAGTTTCTGCAAAAACTCATGCTAAAATGCTATTCTTCTTTATCTTCTTTTCCTAAACATAACAGGACTAGCCGTGTGGTACAAGCAGATGCGATCTTAGATGGAATTAATCTTGAGGAGACATAGTTGACTGTGAGGTTAAAGCACTCATTTTCTGCTCCAGGGTGTTGGATCTTGTTTACATCCATATTTGATGAACAGTAAGACTGGTAGTCCCTCTTGCCCTTAGGGGTTTTATAAAGAAAACAGGTTACAGTCCCAGGTCATGGATGTAAACAGAGCACAATGAAAGCTAAAGGTCTGTATTATATTATTTTAAACATAATGGGAAACAGAGCCAAAACAAAAGATTCCAAATACTTTCAGGAGACTGCTCTGTGTATCAATGTACCCCCCCCCCCCCCTCTCTTCTGAGGAGCTGTTTAATGTGGATCTGGAGCAGATTAGTAGACAGGCTAAGGCTAAATTCTGTAATCGCTGTGATAGGCTTAAACCAAACTGAGTAGGGGTCTGCTCAAGGTTAAACTGATTGCTGTCTTTGTCTATTAGCTGTCACTGTTCATTCAGGCGCTAAGCTCTGGTCTTTATTGCTTTTATTTGAATATGTTCAGGTAGCGATTTTGGTATATTGTATATGGCAAAACCTCCTTTTGAGGGATACATTATTTAAGAAAATGACATCATCAAAGTATTTTTTTTCTTCTTCACAAGAAAGTATGAGTTTTCCACCTTGTTTTATTGCAGCTACAGTAGAGGACATATTTTGTCTCAAGATGCTGACGCTTTTATGTAGTATTCTAAAACAAAAAAGCATGCTGGGGAGCCAGTTGGTTTTATTGTGCATCCCATGTATAGAGGCTACAGCTTTCAAAACAGCAGCACAAGGTTCGACTCCCACCCTCATTAACCACAGGTCATCAACCACTCTCTCATCCCTGTTTTAGACTTTATCCACTGTCCTGTTTTCTCAATAACGGCATAAAAAGCCGCAAAAATGAAAATACTAAAAAGGGTTAAACTTCAAACTTATTTCTATTGATATGAGGTTGCTATGTTCCTCCATTAGTAGATTTTTTATCTTTGTAGTCTCTTTTTAAAGACTTATTTTTGAGATATTTTTTATTTCCTTACTTTCTCCTACACCATATTGATTTCATTTTAAGCCCAATGGTATCAGAACCTGTCTATTTAATTTTGCTTCCTTGGTGAGGCATTTTGTAGTTTTGCTTTTGAGTTCTCTTAAACTCAACACCTACGAAACTTTTGCAGGGTGCTGTTAAGTCAAACTCAACAACCACTAATAAGTTATTTGTCCCTGAGATGCTCGCTCGCTCTCTCTTACTCCATCTACTTGCTTTAATTAAATGTCTTTTGTGGATTGAAAAGCAGGAAGAACACAATATGTGCAAGTAAAATGTGACATGCTTTGACTGATAAAAAAGTCAGAAGATATTTGTGTGGTGGTGTTGTTGCCGTAGTGCTGTTGGAGCCGGTTCTCTGTAACTTATTCATGATTCAGGGGAACAGCAACACGAGGAGGGAACACAACAAAAGAGATGGTTAAAAATGAGAAATAAAGCAGGAGGATTGGTAAAAAGCAAAGGAGAAGTAGAGTGAGGAAGGAAAGGAAAGGTTTTTCTCCTTTAAAGGTGATCAGTAGTGAGAGGATAAAGAAAGACAACAAGGAGAAAAGGGGAGGAAGGAGGAGAAAGAGTGGGATGTTTCCCTGAGGTGAGGATGTGTTTTTGTGTGAACTAACCTCTCTCTCTCTCTCTCTCTCTCTCTCTCTCTCTCTCTCTCGCTCTCTCTCTCACACACACACACACTCACACACGCACATACACTCCCTCCCAGTCACTCAGTCAGTTGCAATAACACGCTCACTGAGGTCGGCAGCACAAAGCAGAGTCGCCCTCATACCAGCTTACACACACACACACTGCACTACACCACACACGCTCAGACAGCAGACACACACCTCCTCAGCGACGCCGGGGAGCTGAAGAAAAACTGACGAGAGAGGACGAAGGAGGACAGAGACCAGCAAGGAGGCGATAACAGAAAAAGAAAAAGAAGAAGAAGAAGAAGAAAGGTGTCCATTCTAAGAAACACTGGGGGAACACATCTGTCAGGTAAGACCCCTTTTGTGTGTTTTTCATTCACTTCTTGGTTGTCATCATTTCATGTTAGCACAGTTATACTGCACAGTGAATAGTGTCATTGTGCAGAGTTAACATCATCTACCCTCACATGTTCCTGAAAGCTTTTTAATTGATATTTTACCCATAACAAAAGTACAGGTGCAAAGGTGTAGTACAAGTAAGTACAATTCTAAGTTGCTTTTAGTGCTATAAGTTCAAAAGGACCATTTGCACAAACTTTTAGAAAGAGAGCGTAATGAGTGAATTGAAGGTTGATGTTTGATATGTCATAAAAGGATGATCTAAGATGTTCTTTCAGTGTGATCTAAAAATTAGTGAAATGGATAGATTGCAATAATAATTCTTCGTGCTGGATACAAAAATCCTTTTGAAAGGCTAGTGCTGAAGTACAAAGCGCTTGGGATGGAGTTCAGGTGTAAATAGATCTTTCAGACAAACACAGTTTCATGAGGAAAAGTAACTTTGATGCCTAAACTGATTTAGTTTTTCTTCACATACGTGTAACCTCTGTATTCTAATGTACATATAAATCATTTCTAATCAGCGTAAGTACTTTTATTCTGGTAATGCTATTTCCTAAACGTAGCAATGTAGTTTTTGATTTCTACAGAACAGTGTGAATCTAACCTTAGTGATTATTTGACCCCAATCCACAATCTTTCCATTCTTACAAGGGCTGTCAGTTTTTTATAATGCATCTATTTTAAGCTAAGGGTACTTAACTTCCAGTTCGGATTCAACCCTGCTTCATTTTGAAACAAAATATGGAACTTCTGCTAAATTGAAGGTTGCAACATTTACTTAACCACAGAATCACTGCAACTCATTACCGAGGGAAAAGACAATGCAAACAGCTAAGAGAACAAGTGTTTGATGTCACAAGGTTGATACTACTTTTGACTGGTCACCTGAGCTATCTGGGCTTTTGATAAGTGAAATGATCCATTCAAAAGCGCAGTGGGGTCGTTCTGTTCACTGCTCTATCATTTTCTCTGTGACTACAACAATGAGTACCTTTTACCTTCTCTTTTGTAAAGTGGTATGAGATAACATTTGTTCTGAATTGGCGCTATAAAAATAAAGATTGATTGACTTCAGTGAGATGCAGCAGTAGCTTACTTACGGTGCACCTAAAGAGACAAAATAGCACGCGATAAAAAAACGATTGCATTAATTTCGAACCTTAAACAACTGTGATTAATGCATCAATGCTGAGAGCTCTAGTTCTAACATAACCCAGTAGTTATGTTGTGTGGTTTTTAAGGAAGTAGGTTTTTTTGCAAAGATAATGAAGCCTTGGTTTTCTAATGTAGGCTACATATGCAAATTTTCCAACATGATAAAGTATTTTTGCATTATCTAAAACATAGCCAAGTAGTATATTTTTTGTACCTTACATACTGAACGTATGCAAATTTACAAGTAAATGTTTTAATTTGAGGTTGTTTATTCACTTATGAAACGATGCATATTGTCCTTTTTTATAAAATGTGATATAGCGACTTTAGCTTGTTTTAGTTTATCCAGCTCAGAATTTACTGTTTGGATTCACTGTCCAAAAAACACTATTCATTCCAAAATGAATACTTCGGAGTCCTCGTGTCTTTAATTAACTCACCATATCAATCTCTGCAGACATATGTCTCCAAATGTCAAATCTTTAGGCTATGAACAAGGCTGTTAGTGTAAGTGTTTTGTTTCCCATGTTAAACTGGTTACAAGACAAAATGCTGAAGTGTTAAACTTCAATCTATCTTCCATTACTTGCCAAATATATTTCAATAAAGCATTATCTGAGTTTTTTTTATTTACATCAACATAACTGTAGTTTGCCCTTCTGTAAAATGTTTCTAATGTCTGATGACTCATCCTTCAGTCAGAGGCATTTACTTATATTTTAACCAATTAAAAGCTTTGTCGATGCTAACGATCCAATCATATTTATCCCAACGTCATTTAACTGCCTTCTGTCTTGTAATTGGTACTATCCCTTTTTAGGTGGGAATACGTCACAAGTTCCGTTTCATGGCGACTTTAAAAATGCAATTTTTTTTTTGTGCAGGTTTTGGGATTTTACATTTGTTAGGGTTAAAGATCTTTATTAGTCAAATTAATAACATTAATACAAGTTCAACTTTTTTGACTACTTAAATCTAAAACATTACCCGAAAGCAAATTCAATTATCCAATCCCATCAAAATGATCGATTATGATTTATGACAGTATCTCTATCTTGAGAGTTCAGTGTTATATTGTGTAGGTCTGCTTATTTGATTTTGGAGGTGAGTTACTGGAGTTCTTGTAATGGAGTCACATGGAGTTCTTTTAGTTGAATAATTCAATTGAGCTAAAAAAAATATTGAGTTACTCTTTTAAAAAAAAACATAAAACACATGACTGCCTGTGAACCACATGTTTTTTTTCTGAATTAAGTTGTGTTTTTCTATGTTGAAATATCACAAATGTAACTAATTTAAACACCTTTTCATACATGATTACAATGTGATGTCTTCATTAACAAGAAGCGTCACATCTCAGTGTAACATTAACCTCTCACATGATATTGATTGCTCACAGTTTGTTTTGAGACACACAAAACACACCCCCTTCATTCCGCACACACACACACACACACGCAGGAGACAATGGCTCCATTCATCCCTTAGCTCTCTCCGTCTCCTCTCTCTCTACTCCTCCTCCTGTGCTCACATCAGCTTTTTATAAACATGCTGAAGGTCAAAAACACAAAACACAGCCCGTCTGTCCCCTTACAGCCTCTTTGACCTGGATCTGCTCCTCTTGTTTTGTATTCTTACAGCCTGTTGGAGCAACTCAGATGCTCGGAAGTAGAGAGAGGAGAGGTATCGTTGCTCCTGCTGCACCCTCACTTCACCAATTAGTCATGAGGGAGTGTGATGATAAGAGGTGCGGCTTTGTTTGAGCGCTAATGTTAATGTTCACAGTTTGGTTAAATCATTGAATTAAAGTTTTAGATTAGATATCAGCAAAAGTATTGATTTTACCTCAGAATAGTTCATTGTGTTCATTGTGACATTAAATAAAGGAAGGACTCCAATCAAACAGGAAAAATGTCATAATTACACTAAAAAGTAAGACCAAGAGATTTTGGTAGCTTATCTGTAACTAGTCGACTAAAGTCGACTAAATGATTAAATGTGGTCACCCCCGCTAGTTGGAGACAGAATAACTAGTTGTTTAAAGGAATTATTCATATTTGGCTAAAAAAAAAAAAGTTTTGGGTAATTAGGAAAGTTTGATCTGGGTTTGGTTTAATATGGACATTAACATGCTTCGTTAGGTTAGAGAAACAAAACCTGAAATGCAGATTGCAGGAAGCTCAATCAAGCTGAAGGAGAGGTGTTGTGTTAGGAGATCATTCTCTTTTACTTCAAATCAGCCTCTTCTCATTCAAGTAGTTGTCTATTTCATAGATATTTCACTTTAATGTTAAAAGATGTTAGGGCATCTTTATCATACTCAGGATAAGGTACAACTGCTTCGGAAAAACGGTAAAGAAACATATTTTTTGGGTGGAAATCATGAGCAAGTTGGTCAAAATCTAAAAATCTTCCCTGAACAAGTAAAATTACATTCCACATTAGTGCTCTATGAACATCCCTTTCCTATGTGGCAATAAACTTCAACGTTAAACCAAAACAGGGTCAGTATGGTTAGTGATTTTTGCTCTGTATGTTTGAAATAACTGACATCAGATTCTAGATAGCAGCCACCTGAGTCTCCAGGGAGCAATTAAACAATGTCTCATCCATGCATCACTTCTTTTAACAAATTGAAAGCACTGACTTGAGCTATAGGACACTTAAGAAGAGTTAAAGTGCTCCACTAAGACCAGAGCAAAAGAGGATCCCAAACCACCAAAGCAATTAAAAACAGAGACAGTGGACAAGTGAATCAATTACATAATGAATAGAACTAAAACACTGTTGATGAAATGCAAACAAGCACAAATGCCAGCAATAAACATTAAACCTTTAACTCATTCTAAGTAGGGATTCTTTTTGCCCTTCAAACTGTTTCCTGTTTATCACCAAATGGATTCAGTGTAATTCCCCCCCAAAAAGATTAAGATTACGTAGGCTACTTAGAAAGCCTCACAGCTAAAAACAATCCATGTTAAGACAAAAGCCTTAAAACCCCGGCGGCCATGCACAGGAGAAAAAAAGTGTAGGTTCTGTAAAAGTCACCTCAGATACATTTTCTGTTAAAAAATCCAAATGAGAGAGAGTGTGAGGAGATGTATGGGGAGGTGTTAGGGAGGAACGCTGTGACGACGTAGAATTAGGTACAAAGTTTGATGTTAATGTGGTGACGGAAAGCAATCAGGAGAAGAAGTGAAATGTATTTTTCCTATATTAGGAACATGTGACAATTTCGGAGTAAGATAAAAGCTTGAAAGCCACATTGACAAAGACATTGTATCAGGTTAGATATGTGAGCACATGTGTGTGTGTGTGTGTGTGTGTGTGTGTGTGTGTGTGTGTGTGTGTGTGTGTGTGTGTGTGTGTGTGTGTGTGTGTGTGTGTGTGTGTGTGTGTGTGCATGTGTTCAGCGGTCTCTGCCACCTTGGTAGCAGAGTACATTATGGCTGTTTGGGCACATTAAGTGGCATTAGCTGAAGGAGCAGCCCTGAATAATGCATGGGCGTTATTTATGAGCAGAGTGCATACGTTCTCTGAAGCATGCTCAACCAGACACACACACACACACACACCCACACACAAACACACGCACACAAAATTTGGTGATGCTATTTAAGCATTTTTTTGTTTTTGTTTTAGAGCACTGCAATGTGGGATTTAAAGTATCTTTGAGACACCTTCAAATGACCACATGCAGACATAAAAAGGACAAAGCAGAAGGTTCAGCTCTCCGCTTATTGGTCATAAGGTCTGACAGTCTATCCAACATGTCACACATATTCTCAGATC